GGAGTAAGGTTAGTGTACTTAAAATAGACAAAAAAACATAATGAATATTGTTATTATGGTCTTATTTTTTTTGACATGAAAACAATGTTTATGATCCAACAACAGTTGGGGCTTAGGTCTCTGCTGTTGCTATTTTGAGGGTCAAAAGCTGAAAAGTTTGAGAACCACTGCTTTAGATTGTTCCTGCTTATTCTATCTTGTTTTTTACCTTTGCTTGTCTGATCTTTGTTTATCTCAACATATTATTTAGGTTATTGTTACCATTGCGAAAGAAGCATTTCAGATTTTTATTTATCAAAGATCTCTGTTCTTGTACCAGTCGTCTTTCATGTCTTTATGATTCATTGTCTGATTTTATGAACCAAAAGTTGTTTAAAATCCGACTGTCTGCAGGACGGCCAGACGCTGATGACGGAGAAGCCCGACACGGAGGCCATGGTGAAAGAGAAGCTGGCGTCCCTGAAGACGATGTGGAACGACCTGGAGTCCACCACCCAGACCAAAGCCAAGTGTCTGTTTGACGCCAACAAGGCGGAGCTGTTCACTCAGAGCTGCGCTGACCTCGACAAGTGGCTGACCACCCTGGATGGACAGCTGCAGTCTGACGACTACGGCAAAGACCTCACCTCCGTCAACATCTTGTTGAAGAAGCAGCAGGTGAGGAGCAGGGAGGTGCTTGACTGCAACCTTCCCTTTCACTGTAGTTTAGAGCAGAACTACTGAATAAAACATGAGAAACGTATGCTAAACCCTGTACTAGTACTGTGCTAATCTTTGTTCACTGAGTTTAACTGGCTTGTATTTTTTCGGCAGCTTGATAAATTTGTTTTGGTTTTCAGGGCCGCTTTTGGATTCTAAAAACTTGGTTTCCAGCTAGAAGTAAATACAAATGACACTTAAAAACACACCTTAAATGGGTAAAAGTGTGCAACATCTGTGGAAACCTTGCCTTTTACTAAAGATACATATATTTTGAACACCTACAAACTCAGTCATCAAATAAAGTTTAACTAATCTCAGATGTTACTCAGAACAGATAACATGTTTTTAAATCCAATCCTTCTTTATGAAGGATACTAATCCTGAGTAGTGCTCAACCACCTCCATCACACATTGGCTCGTTAAGTTCTGAGTTGTACCATAGTTTTTAGATGCACTTATTTTTACATTAGTTAATGTAAACAATAGTAATAGTTTATGTTAGCCTGGCCCTTGCTTTTCTACACATTTTCAGTCAATTTTAACCTCCCTTCTCTGCTCCGTCAGGGATTTCTCCCATAGACATGGATTTTTCTGGGATAATTTTAACCGGGCCAATCAGAGAACAGAAGGAGGAGTTGTGAACAACAACGTTTTAGTCTGCCTGTAGTTTAGCAGTGGCAGTGGAGGAAGTGAATGAAGCCAGTCTGTGTTGATAATAGAGCTGGGCGATATGATCAAAATTTTACATCATGTTATTTTCAACATTTTCACCTGATTCACGGTATTCGACGGTGTTTTTCTTTTCATCACAGGTCAGCTGATAATAAAATGTACAAACCCTGCTTATTTACTTTTTTCTTTTACTGTACCTCTGTCTGTGTCTCTGTTTCCCTCCTCTGTGTCTGTTCTTCTCTGACTGGTGGTTGGAGACAGTAGTCATGCATTTTGGTCCAGTTGTGAAGGAGGAGGGTTAAGAAAAGATTATGATCGGGTTTATTGTTTTATGTTATTTATTAAAGCTTATCAGCACGACTCACCTTGCACACCAGTCAATTCCAACTCCACTACGAACTACTTCCTGGAGGCTTTTCACAATAAAACCACGTTAAGTCTCCATCAGCATAACGTCTCCATATTAACTAACCGCGTTAAATCTAACTGTGCACGTCACTGAAGAGGTGTTTACTACATTCAGCGACGGTGAAAACAGGATGTTTCTTTAAACGTCGGTCAATATAAGCAGCAGAATTGCCACCCGCGGCTGCAACTAGCTGCTCCAAACATTAGCATGCTAACGCACATAGCAGTGCAGCAAGGAAAAATGTCCCCCGGGAAACAACAGTTCACTGGCGGCCGCAACGAAACGTTCCGCTATTTAAACTGGAATGTCCGGTATGCAAAAAATTCATATCATAACAAAAATAAAAACTGATATTCAGTACAAAACGGTATACCGGCCAGCACTAGTTGATAAGGCTTCTAAATTAAATTAAATTTGTCTCACAAAGCCTCCAGAATCGTTTACAGCCGTCTCCTTCAGCTCAGTTCTCTCTTCCCAGTAGGGGATGGTTGTTTACAGCACACACAGTTTTCAATTAGCTTCTTAGTTTAGCTTCCTTCACGGTAGAACTGGTCGGTTCCTGAGCTACTCAAGTTAATGATTTGAGTCCTAGCACTGAATCAGGTCCCACGAATCTGAAGTCTAAATTAACCCGAATCCCAAATGTCCTCAGGCAGACAATATAATACTGTCCACAAACTAGCAAACACACTGAGAAGAAAAAAAAAAACAGCGTCACCTGAATGCTTCAGACGTGTCGGTTCGCTAACTCACCGGCTGCTGTCAGGTCTGAGCAGCTCGGTTCACCTCTCCGGAAACAGTTTGGACTCGTTTCGAGCCGGGTCCGAGTGTCTCAGTTCATCTGCCCGGAAGCCGTTGTGCTCGAGACGAGTCGGGTCCGAGCTGCTCTTTTAGCTCCAGGAAACACTCCACTGCTCCGGTTTAACTCACCAGAGCTGATTTGTAAAAATGCCATCCATAAAAGTCATCAGACGCAGGCTGAGGAAGAACTGAATTAAATATTGCTGTAAATAAGTTAAAAATATCACTATTCTCAAATGACTCAAATTAAATAATCTTCCATAAATTGAACCATTTTTACCAGCTCTACTTCACCGTAGAGCTGGTGCGCTGCATATATCACAGCCAAACATTAGTGATTGGATAAAATCAGATCCAATCATTTTAAACTTCAACAGAGGCCACGCCTCCAGCAAGCACTCATTTCTCAATAATTGAGAGTCCAGGGGGGTACGGTGCGCAACGGTGTGTCTTCTGAATAAATGAAAATGATTTAACACAGTTGTTTATACTTTTAGCAGCTCTTTTTATTCCACAGCTGACCTGCTAAAAATGACAGATTTTCTTTTCTGGATCTCTGACAGACGGACTTCAATCTCTGAACTCGYAAAGTTYTTCTTTTTARTTTTCRCTGTCATTTTTCATGAATGGACACTTCCTTGTATCTGAGGCAGGAAACATAGCCTTATATGGTGTTTTTGGGGTGGCAATTATGTTAATCTCCTCTCGCGTGCACGAGCAGCTGGATAGAACAGGTGGAATTTACGCAGCTCATTTACACACTTTTCCTGAAGATAGAAGCGTTTGTTGAATCTGACGTGACATGTTCGTACGAACCCTTTGTACGAACAAAAGTAAGAGAAATTTAGGATAAGAATACGAACATGTTCTTGCATGAGGCCCAATGTTTTTGATGGGCGTTAAAATAACGAACGTATTTTTTATTTAATTATAAATAAATATATCAAAAATACAGCAGGTGGAGGTGGCAGAGATGAAGATGTTCAGATTTTTATTCAAGTTCAAGTTATCTTTTATACCTTTATGGAACTATTTGTGTTACAGCCAGCAGAAAAAAAGCAATCAACAATTAATACAGTAAAAACCATAAAAACCATCATGGTACAGACATGTCTACTACAAACACACAACCTTCAACAAGAAGTATTAAAAAGGACGATAACAGCAGGTAAAAAGGTGGCATTGGGAGGGACCAGGACTCTGGACTAAAGTAGAAATGAGTAAATCAGAGGGTGCGCTCAGGTTGAAATGGTCTGGACAGTGCAGACGAGGGACAGTGGACTTTTGGACAATGCATGTTGAGAATATCGTTGCCAGAAAGTGAGGAAAGAGGGGAAACAGACGAGAAGGTTTAATGTGACAGATGGAGGCAGCTGATCTGCTGTGGAGATCCCTGAAGAGAGCAGCAGGAAGGAACAATAAAATATATAAAACCATCAACTGTTTGCTGATATTTCCAACATGAGGATGATCAAATCTGTGAATGTCTGGAAACATCCTACAGGAAGAAAAGAGCATCTTTACTTTATGTCCCCTTTAAATTCCTGAGAAGAACCTGCTGTTGTTCAGTCATGTGAGTGGAAGTCTAACCAGCCGTTATATAATTCACACACTCTCCCACTCCTATCGGACGCTCCTTATGTAATCTTTAATTTGGTGTGTTTGGAGGCTCGGCTCAGTGAGTATATGTGTGTGTGTTTGTGTTTGTGTGAGTGTGTGTTTGATTGTTGGGCAGGCCTCGTGGCGATGAGTCCAATCGTGTGTTTAATAACAGTCGGAGCTGCAGAGTGCGAAGGATGATCAAACCAAAGCTGCCGCCTCCTCGTCACATCTGGGCTGTAATCTAGTGTTGAAGATGGAGCGACGAAGTGTTGGAGGGAGTTTATCATCCTCGTCATCACCAGAGTGTTTGATCTGTTAAACTGAAAAGCCTCCCTGTTATCTTCCTCCTCGCTCTGGGTTTAGTCCGTTCCTTTTTTCTTTTGTTTTTGTTTGTTTACTTTGATGCAGCCGCTCCAGGCTCCTATCAGCAGCTGCGGCGGCAGATCATCAGGAGTTTATTACTTTTTATTTTCTGAGTCAGTGTTTGGAGACAATCAGTCTGCAGGTTGAAGGAGAGGAGATGAAGCTTCTGGGTTTTTCTGTTTATGAAATATCACCTTGGTTCTGTTATCGAGGCAAAACGAGACTCCGCCTGAGTTCTGCTGCTAAAGTCATCGTGAATTTTGCTTCTTTTTTTTTCTTTAGGACAT